TAATGAATCTCACAAACAGAAAGTGAAATTAGTCACACCATGTAAGAAAAAGAATCTATCTTAAAGACATTCAGCTACAACTTAAGAAACTATCCCATTTTTCAGAAACAAAGCAAGCATGCCCCACCAGTGACACAGAGTACGGCGTGTGGAAACCCGAGCTCAGCTGTGGGCTTCCTCCTCCCACGACTTCCTGCGTGATCCCCAGTCTCATGGCTTCACTCATCCTCCCCAGAAACCCAGATGTAAGCCCAACTTCATACCTGCCATCTCCACTCGGATGACAGTTCAGCACCTCCCACTGAACGTGATCAGAGCAGAACTCTTGGTTTTCTTCTGTGGACATCTCTCACAGTCTTCCACATCCTAGTAAAAGGCATCACTACCTGGGCAAAGATACTATACACCTCTGAGAGTGACGGTGGTACCCAGCTCACCAGGTTACTATGGAGAGTAAATGCGCTAACTCACACAGAGCATTTAGAAGAGCACCTGGCAAATACTAAGTTTTCACTAAGTTTAAGCATCACTACCATTACCATCCTGATTCCTGTTTTTCTCTCACACCCAATCTGTCATATGAACAACAGTTCAAACAAGTAACTGAAATCCAGGGACCTCTCTGGACCATAACCACCATAGCCACCCTACTGCAAGCCACCATCTAGATTAAAGTGATAAACCAGGAGATGGCCTTCCACTTCCATCCTTCCAAAGTGGTTTTCAAACAGCAGCCACAATAACCTACATTAAATATTAATCAGGTCATATCAATCCCTTTTTCAAAACCATCCAGTGGGTTTCCACCGCTTTAGGCTACACATCAAACTCCCCACCCTGGTCGACTCCCAGTCCCACGCGCAGCCGCCGCCGTCTCCCCGGGTACCGCCCACAGCAAGCTCACTCCCCTCCAGCTGCACCCGCCTTCCTCATTCCGCCAAAACGCTGCCCTTCCCTCCCCGGGGCCTCGGCATCGTGACTCCTGCCCTGAATGCACTTCCCTGGACACCTGCTCAGCTGGCTCCGCCCTGTCATATCGTTACTGTCCACTTCCTTGGTCACTGTCTACCTCCCACTAGAATATATGCTCTGTAAGAGAAGAAATTTCCTCTCTCCTGTTAAGTATTGTGCTCCTAGTACCGAAAACAACATGTGGGCGAACAAAAAGTTATTAAAAAAACAATTAACTGAAAGAACTGGCTAAAGCTTCTCAAACTGTTATGTGAAAGCAAAGAAATGTATCTTCCCCTCGCTCTTTTCCCTAACTGATCATCAACTGATTACATCTCGGCTCCAAATTCACCCTTTTTGCCTGCTCTGTAACTGGACCCTAATACTCAGAGTTTGAGGATCTAAATCCTTGGATAATACAACTCATCGCAAAGGCACAGTTATCAGCAGAAGACCCGAGGGGGCACAGTCAGAAAGCCCGAGGCCCAGCCATGGCCCCAGCAGACCCTGGCCAACAAAACGCAGGACCAATCACTTAGGCTCTCTGAGCGGCTCTTTCCTGGTCTGCACAGTGCACGCTGTCATCCTGTCTATGTCAGAGGCCTGGGGTGCGGAGCCAATGAGATAAGGCATAAACTACACGTGGACAAGCGGAAGCCATCATTGTTATTATAGTAACTGTCAGCTCCACAAACTGTTGCTGAGCACTGACCCTGTGTTACACCAAACAGAAATGCTAATTAAGACCAACCCCTGCCTCTCAAAGAGCTTACGTTTTAGCTGAGGAGAAAAACACTAGTCGGAATAACTCCACTGTGGTTTGGTTGAATGCAGGGCGCTGTGCGAGCACAAAGGAGGGACACTCAACACGATCCTGGGCTCAGGGAGGTTTCCTGGAGGAAGTGGTGCCAGGCGGAGTCTCAAGGGATCAACAGGGTGAGGAAAGGGTTCTCATCAAACGAGAGCACAATGCCCAACCTCGCCCTACAGCATGTTCAGAAGCCAGATTTGTTACATCCTAATAAAAATCACACGATCCAAGGTTAAAAACAAGCGTTCAGATATCACCTGGGGTAAATTTCTTCTATCAACTTAAGACTTCCCCCAGCACCATTTATTTCACCCTCTAGCGCTAATTAAAATACCTTTTTCTAAGCCTTTAGGGCAATTCTTCTCATCCTGTGAGAATATTTCCAAAGTTTTCAATTACATACTCCAAGGGCAAAACCTTCCTCACCGGGAAGGACAGTAATCAAGAAACCACTGTAAGAGGCTTAGATGGCTCCATCGTCACAGCCCGGAAAGAAACCCCTTCCCTCCTCCCAGCCCTCAGCTGTGCACAGGAGTCGGGAAAGCTTCCCAGACGACACACTCCATCCCCTCTCCTGCATGATAAGGACAACCTCTCAACTAGACTTGGCCCTGACCGACCCAGGAGAAAGCCAAGCACAGCCTGAGGCAGCAAGTCACTGTCCCTCTTCTTTCAACCCAAAGAAACTGAGGCCAGAACTCTCCTCAACCCACAGGCCAGCAGGACAAATGCATTAGAGTCCCAGTCCACTAAAGCAGAACACTGACGTGCCCTACACCCTGCAGCTCCACTCCTAGCCCTGTAACCCACTGAAATGTGTCTGTCAAAGATGTCCTAGAGTGTTCCAAGCAGCAGTATTAGTCATAACCAAGAGAAAGAAAACAAAACCCTATCAACCACAGATTGGGATAACCTGTGATAAAACCCACTGGAACTGGGATGAATCCAAACCATGTGTCACCTGTTAGGATGCAGTGCAAAGAACAGCATCACCTCTACGATATTCCTGCTCAAGGTGGGAACTTGACTTTATTTTTTAAATAACCAGCCTGTAATCTTCAAAAGTGACAGTCACGAAAGTCAAGGAGAAACTAAGACCCTGGTCCAGACCAAAGGAGACTAAGAAGACATACGTAAGTAGCACATGTGATTAAGAGTTAGGTCCCTTTGAAGTAAAGGACGTGATTGAAACAAGTAGTGAAACCTGAACGGGGTCTGAGGATTAGGTGGTTGTCACGTACTGACACTAACTTCTCATTGACAGCTAAACTGAGGTAACGTGGGAGGACATCCTTATTTGCAGGACGTAAGTATTGGGGGTGATGAGGTATCAGGTTGGGAACTTAATCTCAAATGGTTTAGGGGAAAAGTTACTGTTTTTATCTGCAATTTTTCTGTAAGTTTCTGATTGTTTCAAAATTCTAAAAAATTATTATATATATTTTTAAACTGTATGTTGAAGCAAGAAAGAACGAGCAGGAGGTCAGGTAGGAGAAAGGAATTCAAAATCCATATGCTATATTTTTTACCAATATAAAGATTCAGTGCAATTTGTTGAAAAAAGTGAATTACTAACTTAGAAAATCATAGTGTTTTATATCTTTAATCTCGGCATATTTAGATACTCCATCTTCTGCCCAGAAAAAGTAGGAAAAAATTCAGATCATTTTTACCAGCAAGGAAAACTTTCTTCATTCATTTTTTTTTTTTGACAGGGGAGAAGCAATTCTGTTTGTTTTATGTATATGTTTCTTGGTGGAGGGAATAGGGATTGAACCCAGGACCTCCTGCATGCTAAGCAGGCACTCTACCACTGAGCTATACCCTCCTTCCACTGAAAACTCTTCTCAAAAACCCCCTCAAACAGTTGCTTATACTTTCAGTCAGAATTTGGAAGGAGAAGGAAACAGCCAGTATCAGCTCAAGACGGTACCACGAGCTTCCTGAAATGCACGGTGATGTGTGTGGCCGTCTTGGGGCCAGGGGACCAAGACTGGCATTGGGTGGGTGAGATGCCCAATGTCCTGAAAAGTAAAGGCCTGCCTCCCACGAAGAAGTGCTATTCAAAATGTCGAGAGAGAGGAGTGAACAAAACCAGTCTTAATAAAAGAAGGGGAACTGCCAACCAACAGGCAGACGTGAGCATCCGCCACAGAGACTCTCAGTGGTGGGACACTGACCTTACCTGCACGTACCTCACAGTCCAGGGTAAGTCACAGTGGTAACTACTACTAAACAGTCAGGAAACTGTGCAAAAACACTAAGTTACCGAGGATAGAACACACACACACACACACACACACACACACACACAAATAGAGAAGAGGAAGAACGCCGATTATGCTTGGTGTTTTCATAAACTGCCTCATTTAATAAAACCACAGTTAATATTTAAGTCTTCCCAAATGTTGACACAACTGAATTATACCTGTGTAGGTAACTCCAGGGAGTCAGTAATAAAAATTACTTATACCAGAAAATAATTACAAGTTTTAACACAAAAGGAAAGGCTGGACTTGGTGTACACTGTAATCAGTACAGCTTAAAAAGAGCGTAACTTTGAAGTTATGTACTAAACATTAAGTACACAAAAAAGTACCCCTACAAAAGTATAAAAGAAACTCAGATTCAGATTAAAAGACAACAGCTATGAAAAATTTGTATACTTTTAAGATGCTATCATTTAAGTGTCTGCTTTTAACAAATCTCTTTAAAAGTACTGATTATATCATTTATTCAACTCAGCTGCCTCCGATTTCGCCCAGCAGTGGGCTGTTTATTGTAGCACTAACGTATAACTGTCTTTAGTATTTAAATATAAAGACTTTGTTCTATATTGCCTTCCACTGACACAAAATACCAATTTAGAACAGAAATCTGGGGGTGTATCCACCGCAGGCCACACTAATTGTTAAGGACCATATATGAAATCCATTTTCAAGGAAAAAAAGATACATCTTTGAAGACACAGAGGCTATTCACAAAATTAATCATCTCACCATTAGTATTAGTATGAGAAAGAAAAAAATGGCAAAATAACAATGGGTAGTAACAAAAATATTGAAGTTCTAGAAATAACAGTACAGCATCATGAGCAATCTGAGTATCATCATAAAAATTAAGTAAACTTATTTCTTAAGAAGATAGAGAACAAAACTATCAAGAGTATGTAAGTGAAAAATGTGAACACATGGAAATAAAGTGAAGATGGAAACATGGAAACAAAGTAAATACTTACCGCCAAAGCCTTGGACAGTTTGGTTCTAAAGTCATTCAGGATGATCGCCACAATGTCCCTGAGTGGTACATAAGCAAAGCCATTTTCCAAATAGACTTTCCTTCCTCGGAACAAGTCCAGGGCATCCGCAAAAGGGATCTGAATTCAGAGTCAAACAGGGAAAATAAGTCAGTCATTACAACATCCTTCTAGTCTTCATGCCAAGTCCAAACAAAATCCGTCCTAAGAGAAGGTCCTTAGTCCCAGCACATCAAAAAAAAAAAAAAATGCAAAGATCAATTTATACTCTTAACAATAAACAACAGTATTAGGAGGAGTGGGAGTCCAAACTGATTGGGGTTTTTTTCTTTCTTTTTTTTTTTTTTTTTGCCAGAGGTGGGATAGTAACTAGATTTATTTATTTATTTATTTTGTAAGTGGAGGGACTGGCAACTGAACCCAGGACCTCATGCATGCCAAGCAGTGCTCTACCACTGAGTTATACCCTCCCCCTATCCAAACATGTGCTTGTTTCAAAGTAGATGTTTTAAAAATAAGCCAAGTTAGAAAATTTTATTTTTACTCTTAACTCATGAGTTTACAAATTATAATCACCAGGATTTCAAAGCCCTCTGAGTACCCTGCAGTCCCTTCTTATGACATATTCCACATTTTATTCTTCATCAAGCAGAATCCAAAGAGTATACATTATGTCCAATGCTAAAAATTACTCATAAGTAAAAGTAATTCCAAATCCCTTCATCTATGTTTCTACTTTTTCTCTAGAGAAATATATTGGGAAAGCTAATCTCAACACTAAGAAATAGAAATAATAAGTGTCCAGTTTTCTTATGAAAATAAATATTTGCCAGGAAATATTTTTCTAAAAACCTCATGCTATTTTTAAAGTCTTATGACTATCGTAAAACTCTAAGAGATGAGCAGATTACGGTATCAGTAAATTGTGAAAATCATTCTTACTCTTCAAGTTTTTCTCCTTCTTAAAAATGATGTAAAAAATTAGGTTTAAAAAAAAATCCTCAAATTGCTTGTTCACCCAAGTTTTAGGAAAGAGTTAAGTCTGTATGCCCATGATTCTTCTACATACTCAGTGACACCACACGGCATCAGATCATGTGTTTTTACAGAAAGGTTTGATTCTTTTACAGATTTCTACAACCAGCACACAGCCCCTGCCCTGAGGAGGTTCAGTGCTTAGCTGAGGAAACAAGACAGACACACATGGAAAGTCAGGCATCTCTGCAGAGCAGCTGGGGTGCCCCAGCCCAAGACAGGAGCTCACACAGGACACGTGACGGGGGTGCCAGGATTTAGTGCACTAATCCAGGCAAGAGAAGGAGAGAGTCTGAAAAAGTGGGTTCTAGTCCACGCTCTTCACTGACTAGACTTGGGATTCCGGGACCCTCAACGAACACTCCTAAACCCCCAGGTCTATAAACCCAGGCAAGGGGCGGAGAGATGGTCTACACGCCCCTGAGGGCTGGGTTCTTCGGCTCCAATATTCCATGATTCCAGCTTATGAGGGGGTCACGGTGGAGGTGGAGATGCCCAAGCAGAAGCAAAGGCTGATGTGAGGGCAATGCGTGGTGTGGGAGGAGGAATGCTGAGGGCCTCGCTCTGCATGTGGAAGGCTGCGTGCTTCCACAGGGAGGTCATAACAGCGCCAACGTGGAGGCAGGATTCTAGACTCCTGGCACCCACCAAGAAGCAGCCACTCTTGTCAGAGGAATCGGTGGTGCAGGAGCTATCGAATTTTAAGATGAATTTCAGCCCCCCTCCCCCCGTTCTGGACCTCTTCAGTCCCAAAGCCACCCAGTGGGTTCAAGCAAAGCAGGTGTCTGGGCTGAGGGGCAGAGGGAGACAGAGGTGGCCCAGGGAGAGGGGCTGGAACCTGAGTGGGGGAGGCAGGGCTTGCGGCGGGAGAGCAAGCAGGCAGCAGGGCCCAGACAGATGAGACTGTGCACGAGGGCACTCAGTCCAGGCCCGGTGCCAGGCCCGTGGGCACACGGGCACAGACAGCCTCCCGCGCCAGGCAGGGATACAGAACAAGAAGTCACAGCCAGGGGGTGACGAGAGGACCCTTGCCAGGGCACCCATCGTGGGGCACAGAAGCCGAGCACAGGGACAAAAGGGAGGACTTGCTTCAAGAGACTGGCCAGCAGTGAGGGTTGGAAGGGGGTCAGCGAGGACAGCCCAGCACAGAAAGGTGGTGCTTCCCTGGTCGGGTGAACGTGACCCGAGCAGGAGAGGGAGAGGCTGTGCCGACACGAGGCGATACGAACGGGTTAATTAAACACATAGATAAGCCTAATTTGATATACATAACAAAACCTAAGAAGTATTTCAAAAGTTTACATACCTTATAAACTGACTCCAAGTCCAGCTGAGTGGGTGATGGAGCGCTTAAGCTGGGTGATGAAGCGATGAGATCCTGTTCTCGGAGAGTCTTCTCTCCATCACTTATCTAAAAGGAAACATATTTCTTATCACTTAAAAATTAAAACTCTTCCTTCAGTTTCAATAAAATACTTCCCTGTTCCAGGGAAGATACTATACTTTTTTGAAAAATGTTAAAACCCGATATGTCAAGTCATCCCTAATATTACTAAATCATTGCTATCATTAATGAAGCCCAAATAGGGAAGAAAACTTAATATACTTTCAAATTTCTACTCTGACGATCTCTGAGGGCACATATCAAAAGAACAGTAGCAGGGAAACAGAAAGTATTATAGTAAGAAAGAAGTTACAATAAAAATCAAGGTAACAGAGACTAAATATGAGCGTTATCCCAATTTGGGATTATGTTAATTTATTAAAATCTCTATTTGCAGTTAAGAGCGGTTTAACTATTTCTGAACTTTCTAGCCACATAAAACAATTCCAAACCTAAAGCACTAGTTATTTGTAGGAACAACAATAGCTCTGTTATCTCCTGTAAGATTGACAGAGCTGAGTAGATACAAATTTTAAACTTCTGTACAGAAAAGTAAAAGATCTATACGTGAAGATGAAATATAAATGACAAACTGTGGGAAACATTTATGTCATATGACATCTGATTACTCTCAACACACCCCCTAAGTAGCAGGACGTAACAACTAGTAATCCAAAAGTAAACCGCAGCCAAGATTCACAGAAGTGGAAATAATAAAAGGAAATTAAAAATAATAATGTAGCATTATTCTCTACCTACTAAAATGGCAAAAGTTAAAACGATTTTGAATCCACGGGGTTGGGACACTCTTTGTGCAGGGCACTTTGACAATGTACCTCATAAACCCTTAAAACATGTAGACCCTAACGATTTTACTTCCAGAATTAAACTTAATAACAGAACAAATACAGGAAAAATTTCTCTTCATCACAAAGTTATTTGGAATAATTTTTTTTTAAACTAAATGCCCAACAACAGGTATTTGGTTAAATAAAGTGCAGTAGAACTTGATGTTTCAGTAAAGCAAGCTACATTATTCAGATCAAGCTCTCAGAGAAATCAAAGAAAATACACTGGTAAAAATTTTTAAAGCATCTTCTTTAAAGCACAGAGGATTAATATACAGAGTCAGGCCCACTTGAAGTGGGGTATCTAACAAGAGAGCCTCCTGCTCTAAACCATGGGTCTTCAAGGAAATTGCAAGCCTTGAACTGGTTTTAAGGTTGTCCCCGCATCAAACGCCCCAGACGCCTGGCAGAAGAAAACTCAGGTCCTCTCTGGGGAACGTGCATTCACAGCCTGCCCCAGAGGACTCCTGCAGATACATTTTCACACAGCATCAGGTACACTGTATTTTATAACACGGCAAATAATAAAACATCGCTTTGTGAGCAAAAAGACAGAAGAAAAAGACTCATAAAGTGCATAGGTAATAACTATGCTAGGATGCAAAAGGAAATAAAAGACAAGGGTAATGATATCCGTATGAATGGAAAACTCT